CTAAGTGTGAAATCAAGAAAACAATTAAAATGTATTGGACCTTTATGAAGACCAGTTTCCATCATACCCATTAAACTATCATTATAATTAAGAAAGCGAGCATCTCTTAAGCATAATAAAACAGAGGTATTTTTCCCTACCATGGTTAATGGATTAACACCAACTTGTATTAAACCAATATGCATAAAATTGTAACCATTATTTAAATGTCTTTTGATTAACTTAGTATCAAATAACCTACAGGTTTCTCTAGGTTTTTCTAAAGCATAAACTTGTTCAATGGTTTTAACATGCAGAGCAACTTTAAACACATTCTGTATAAAAGTAGTTTTATAAATTTCTTTGATTGGTAGTTTAGGTATATTCCATCCTACATAAATTTTATCATTTTGTATTTCAACATCTTCTTCATTTATTACTAATCCGTGATTAGGTATTGAGGGCAAAGTTGTTGACCTAGAACTGACTGATGAGTTACTTCTAAATAATCGATTCATTGTTTTTGTTAATTAATCAGTTTTACAGATACGTTAATACATACCCTATTCTAGTCATGTTATCACAGACCAAAATGGTTTGAGTACAAACCCTATTCGGGAAACCCCTATGTCCTACACCACCCAACCCTAAGGACTTACTTTGGACAGGAAACGAAAGTGGGTGACTTAAACCAGGTGGATAAACACAGACCGATCTCTTAGGTGATTAAGATGAACTGAAAACTAGATCAAACAAACAAACAACATAATGGATTAATTGGAAGAAACAAAGCAGTTAGAAACAGGATACAACATAACTTGGCTCTGATACCAAAAGGGTGAAGAACATGAATTACGAAATCAAATAATATGACTAAAGTTGATTGTAGAAAATAATATACTAAGATTAACTCGACATTTTAATAATTCATTTATTTCTTTTTTACACATTTCAAATAAATCATGATTCATTTGAATAGGTCTAGATTTAGTAGGAATTTGTCTTTCATTAAAAATTTTAATATATAGTAAAGTAACTACATGCTTTTTCCTATGCCAGAATGCAGTAGGTGAAGTTGAACAGACAGTGGATTCTAGTTTTAATTTAAATTCATTAAAATTGGAAGAAACAAAGCAGTTAGAAACAGGATACAACATAACTTGGCTCTGATACCAAAAGGGCGAAGAACATGAATTACGAAATCAAATAATATGACTAAAGTTGATTGCAGAAAATAATATACTAAGATTAACTCGACATTTTAATAATTCATTTATTTCTTTTTTACACATTTCAAATAAATCATGATTCATTTGAATAGGTCTAGATTTAGTAGGAATTTGTCTTTCATTAAAAATTTTAATATATAGTAAAGTAACTACATGCTTTTTCCTATGCCAGAATGCAATAGGTGAAGTTGAACAGACAGTGGATTCTAGTTTTAATTTAAATTCATTAATTTGAGAAATAATTGGTCTACTCTAATACATGCATATATATATATATATATAATATGCATATGTATAAAAAGTTTGATTCAGAAGTTATACAACTAAAAAATATATATATATATATATATAAAGTTTGATTAAAAGGTTATAAAACTAAAAAAAAAGTTCGATTGGGTTGTATATATATGTATGCATATAGGGCTGGGCATATGGTTATCCGAACCGCCCTACCCGATTCGAACCGCGCACGTATGGGCGGTTTCGCAAACACATTAGGGTAGGGTGCGGTTTGGATTTTATGTAATTTTCGGGTTGCGGGCGGGTTGCGGGTTTAACCCGCACCCGCCCAACCCGCCCGCATAAAACACTTTCTTTTTTTTTTTTTTTGGGTTCAAATCTAATCTAACCGTTTAAAAAAAAAACCCCTTTTCTTTTCCTTCAAATCCAACCGTTCAAAAAAGAAAACCCTAATCAATATTATCTATCTCTCACTCTATCTATCTCATTCTGTGTCTCTCATTCTCACGCTCACTCTGACTCTCGCGATTTTCATCTCCACTGCCTACACCCACTGATCGACTCTCTCTGTCTTCGCAAGATGGACTAATCGACCGATCAACCGATCGACCTCATCGCACACCTCACAGGTAAGCTCCTCTCTGAATCTTAGTCTCCGTCTATGTTCTTTTCTTTCCGATCTTTGTGTCTCTAATCTGTCTCCCTTCCTTACTCTCTCATCTCACAGTCTCTCACTCTTTGGCTTTGCATCTACTACACCGATCGACTCTCTTTCATCACAAAACGACCGATCGATTGACTCTGTCATCGCACCGATCACAAGTAAGCCTCTCTCTCTCTGTCTTTTTCTCTCTCACTCTCCCCGATCTTTGATCTGTCTATGTTTAGAGAATCAGTTGATAGATTTGTTTTGGATCTGTTCATTAATGTGGTATTGGATTGATGGAGGACATTTTTTTGGAATCTGTTTTGAATCTGCAACAGATCTGTATTTTTTGTTTATGTTATTTGTTGATGGAGGACATTAAATCTGTTTTTGGAATTAATCTGTTTTAAATCTGTTTAATTTGTGGAATCTATTTAATTTATATTGAATCTATATTAAATCTGTATTGAATCTGCTTTAAGTCTATTTGTGGAATCTATTTAATTTGTTTTAAATCTGTTATTTAATTTTTGGAATTAAATCTATCTGTGTCTGTATAACCTGTTTTTCTGAATTAAATCTGTGAAATTGAATCTGTTAACTTGATTCAATCTGTTAACTTGAATTTGTTTGTTTGATCTGAATTTGTTTGTTTGATCTGAATTTGAATCTGTTAACTTGTTTGATCTGAATTTGTTATTAAAATTAAATTAAATCTAAATCTATTATTAAAATTAAATCTGAATCTGTTAATCTGAATCTGTAAATCTGAATCTGTTGAATTAAATCTGTTATTAAATCTGTCTGTTATTTAAATTTGTTATTTAATTTTTGGAATTAAATCTGTTATTAAAATTAAAATTGAATCTGTGTCTGTAAAATTGATTCTGTGACTCTATTTTTGTAAACTAGTTAAATGAAGGATATATTTAATCTCCCGCAATCAATCTTGTACCTCCGGAATCCTCTAATTCTCAAATGAATCCTCTCTTAGTCGAACCCAAACCTGAACTTAAACCTAAGCGTCCTAGACCCCCAAAGAGAAAGAGTGAGGGTGGAGGGGGGAGAGCACCATCCACAGTTTGGGATCATTTTGACAAGGTTGTAGGGACCGATGGGAAGCGTAGAGCCGTATGTAAATATTGTAAGAAAGAGTATATGGCTGACTCTAGAACTCATGGGACTAGTAATTTGAGGAGTCATACACCCAATTGTAAAGAATATCCAAATAGGGATACAGATGGTCAACAAACATTAAATCTTAAACCGAAACAAAATGAAGAGGGTGTTGAGGTTGTAGCAATAATTTTTAATTTTGATACTTGTAAAAGGGCTCTTGCGGAGATGGTGGTCATTGATGAGTTGCCATTTAGATTTGTGGAGGGTGTTAGGTTTAGAAGATTTTGTAATGTCATGCAACCCAAATTCACACCAATTCCCTCTCGTCAAACCATATCTAGAGAAGTGGTCAATATATTCAAGAATGAAAGGGATAAGTTAAAGAAGGCCATGAAGGGTTGTAGAATTTGCTTTACTACGGACACCTGGACATCTTTTCAGAATTTGTGTTACATGTGTTTGACTGCTCATTTCATTGATGATAACTGGAAACTTCAAAAAAGAATCATAAATTTTCAACAAGTTAAGGATCACAAAGGAGAAACATTGGGTCAAAAAATTGAGTCGTGTTTGATTGAGTGGAACATTGATAGCATATTCACCTTAACAGTTGATAATGCTAGTTCTAATAATCTTACCATTCAATATTTGAAAACGATAACCAAAGATTGGAAGGGGACTATTTTGCAACATGAATTTATTCATATGCGTTGTTGTGCACATATTCTTAATCTCGTTGTGAGTGATGGGTTGAAAGAAATGGATGATTCTATTGCTAACATTAGACTTGCAGTGAGATATGTGAGGTCTTCTCCTCATAGGCATGATGTTTTTAAGAAGTGTGCGGCCACACTCAAACTTGATTCAAAAGCTCTTGTATGCCTAGATGTACCAACTAGGTGGAACTCTACCTATTTGATGTCAGAGGCCGCCGAAAACTATAAGAAGGCTTTTAACCGATTGAAGTTTGTGGATTCCAACTTTGAACCTTATTTCAAGGATGTTGATGGTGGCATAAGAAGAAGTCCGAATGAGTTGGATTGGAAAAAGTGTAGAATTTTTTTGAGGTTTCTAAAATTATTTTATGTTGCAACCAAGAAATTTTCGGGGTCCCTCTTTGTTACTTCCAATGCTTTTTACAAAGAAATGTTTGTTATTGAAAGCAAAATTAATCAATTAATTTTGGAGGGGGATGATACTTTGAGCACAATGGCAAAGACTATGAAGCTAAAGTTTAGCAAGTATTGGGGGGATGGAAGTAAAATCAATTTGTTGTTGTATGTTGTGGTGGTTCTTGATCCTACCAAAAAAATGACATACTTGGAATTTTGTTTTTTCAATTTATTTCTTGGAGATAATAGGAAGGTGGAAGAGATGGTAGACAAGGTTAAGAGTTGCTTGAGTCGTTTGTATAGCCATTATGTCACACTTTATCCTTCAAATGAGAAACTTCCAAGTGTGAGTGAAGTTGTGAATATGGTGGAAGATGATGATGATGATGATCCCTATTCTTTAGTTGACTCCCAATTTAATTCCTATTTGGAGGGGTGATGCACTAGTGGATCTAAGTCGGAATTGGAACAATATTTATCCGAGGTTGAACATTTTGCAAAGAATCAAACATTTGAGATTTTGGATTATTGGAAGTTGAATGCAACCAAATATAGGGTGTTATCACAACTTGCAAGGGATGTGTTGGCCATGCCTATTTCTACCGTTGCATCGGAGTCGACTTTTAGTACGGGAGGGTGTATTCTTGACCCAGTTCGTAGTTCACTCTCGTCTTTTATGGTTGAAGCTCTTGTATGTACTCAAAATTGGCTTCGAAGCAACCTTCCAATTTCTCTTCGAAAGGCGATGGATGATGTAAAAGAATTTGAGCAATATGACTCGGGTAAATGAGAATTTATTTATCTTTATTTTTATTTGTATTATTTATTTTCTAATGTAAATTTTATTAATCTTCTCTTGTTGACTTCTAATTAGGTACTTTGGAGTCAAGCTCATCTTCAACTTCAACCTATAATGTTGATGCTATAATTGATGTCTAATATCCATTTGGTCATTGGTAATTTTTTCATATACTCAACACATTTTCTTACTATATTGAAATGCAATATATAGACTTTTGTTTATCTTTTCATTTCTTACTATAATTGAAGATTGAAGTTTATATTTTTTTCAATTTGTTTTTGTGTAGGGTTCATCAACCAAATGCATGGAATTGGAATTTGTGAAAGTTGAATTGGATGTGATTCATGAAGATGAAGTTTGATATCTTAGATGAAGTTGAAGTTGAATTGGATGTGTTTTAATTTTATTTCATGGGTTTGTATTGAATGAAGTATGACAACAATTTTTTTTTTTTATTTGCATTTTGGTTTTGGATGAATGTAAGTTAATAAAGAATTACTTCTTTTTTTTGGGGGGGTTAGGAATGATGAATGTTGAATTTTCAATTTAGGATTTTTTTATTTGGGTTATGAATGATGAATATAGGATGAATGTAAGTTAATGATGAATGTAGGTTTTGAATAATTTGTTTAGGTTACGAATTGAATTTGTTGTGTTTTTTATTTTATAAGTTTTTTTATAAGTTTTAATTTATTAATTATTAATGTTGGAGTATTTTAAAAAATATGAAGAAAAAGGTCCAAAATAAAGATTGACAAAATTAGGAGGGAAAAAAAAGGTTTAAAAATAAATTTTTGGAAAAACAGTTCAATCCGCAAACCGCCCGCACATCCGCGAACCCTATCCGCACAAACCGCAAACCGCATTGCGGGCGGTTGCGGGTTGACTTTTTCCCAAACCGCATAAATGCGGGCGGGTCCAAACCGAACCGCAAACCGTCCCAAACCGAACCGCGGACACCCCTAGCATATATATATATAAAGTTTGATTCAAAAATTATAAACAATGCCATCAATATCCAATATATATATATATATAAAAGAAGAAGATGAAAGATGGTTTATACATATGCAATCTCATCTTCACTGTACATATATGTGTGTGTGTGTGCAAAATATAATTTTGGAGATGAATCAATTTGATGTGGGAGGAGGTTTAAGGATGGCATGTGAGAGGAGGGGTTGCGGTAGTGGTGTGATGGACATGGGTGGTGGTTTGAGGGGAGGGGAGGAGAGAGAGAGAGTGTGTCACGACCTAAACCCGGTATCTAAAGGCTCCACGTCGTATCAAGATAAACATAAAATAATTCAAATAATTTTGTAGTCGTAGCGCAAGCGATTAAATTAAATAAATTAAAATAAAATAATTGGGTATCAAATGTTTAATAAAATGAAACAAACATAGTCGATTGAGCTTTATTGTATTACAAGAGTCTGATAAAAAAAAAATCTTAAAAATAAATGAAAAAAAAAACACAACGATTCATTCCCCATCTTGATCCTACTAAACTTCGTCACCTAAAAGGGGTAATAGCTATAAACACATAGCGGAGTGAGAAATATTATAATGTACATATAGGGGCACCAAAATAGCCATGGATAGTAATTTAAGCTAAAACATTAATATAATTTGAGTTGAATACATAAATTAATTAAGTGGCAGAAACTGAAATAAATAACTATAACTACGATGTAGAACAGAACATAACTGGGGTCATTAGAGTGACAATCAGAACAGAGATCAATGGATCCATGAGAAACAGGGAACTACAAAGTGGTCAAACATGGGCCAATGGTTATTTAAGTCCCCAAGGCATAAGACTCCCGTAGTGATACTTACAGAAAATAATTATTTATAAGATCATTGTCAATTAATTTCTAAAATTTAAACAAACATATTCATGGATTTTAATTTAAGCAAATAGAGTTCAAAAAATAATCCACGTAATTGAAACATCAACCTAATCATAAAATATAAATTATATAAAATAAATTGTGATAATTCAAAACATTTATAAATATATTATGATAACTCAAAACATATAAAAAAATATATTATAATAACTGAGGATACAGTAAAACTCAACCTTAACTTTCATGTTTCTATTCGTGCCTTCCTACCTCGGGTGCCCGCTCTTGCTTCTACCAATTTATGCGACTTTCCACTTCTTTTTCTTCTTACCGAAACTGAGGCAAATGAAGGCTTATTTATAGTTGTATTGCATGGGGTGTGTGCATACATGGAATTGACACGTGGCCATGGGCTACGTGTCTCTTAGCCCACACATTTCCCTTCCTCGGATTTACCCCCTAGTTTTACCAAGGGTCTGGCCCTTGGGTAATTCATTTATTGATGAATTTATTTATATTTTATTTTTATAATTATTTTACATAATAAGTATTGAATTAAATTTTAAAAAATTTCAGGTGTTACAAAGAGAAAAGAGGTGGTGAAGAAAAAGGAGATTGAAATTAAATGACATCTTTTATAAATTTGAAAAGATAAAAAGGTATTTCCATCATAAAAACGAACCCATTTCCTATAGAGGCGCGTAACTTTCACATTCTATTATCTTAGACATAAAAGTTAACTGTGCGTTTTAATCCATCAACCACAAGGCGGTTATGTGGTGATTTCCTGTGGGAATATATTTTCTGAGTACCAACACGCAGCTAAGGTGACGCCGACATGTCAGCCGAGGTGCCACGTGTCCTGGTCATGACGCCGAGGTTATCTCAACGGGGCCGAGGTTACCTCCGAAGATATCGGAATCCGAGATAAGCGGATAAGGAACAAGAGTCCTAGAAAGGGGGAGACTACAGTTGGGAAAGGATAAAACTCTTAGGGAGTTTATCCCAATCCTACTGGGAGTCCAAGATTAATAGTAATCCTAAGTCCATTAGAGCTAGGCTCCTGTTGGGACAAGGATTGAGTTAGCTATAAAAGAGAGGCACTCCCGTAGGTCTAAGGTACGCAATTTTATATTCTGAACAGTGAGATTTTCACTATTGATTATCTTTGAGAGATATACTGACTTGATCGTCGGAGTGCCCCCGGGTGGACGAACCACCGCCGGAATCTTCTCTTTCTGTTGCAGGTTAGCCAGGTGTCATCTATTCTGCCAGTGTTCTCCAGCTGAATACTGAGTTGGGCAATGTGATCGAAAAATCACTCACACAATTTGGCGTCGTTTGTGGGAAAGAAAGGAGAATAGATGACCAGTAACGGGCAGAAGGAAAAGATTGGAGACGACATTCTTGTTGGGAGTGGGAGACCTATTGACCTTGATGTCGAAGGAGACGAATGCAACACAGAAACTCATGACTAGAATCACGGAGTGAAAGACGTCAGCCAGACTGGCAACGCACCAAAGAAACCAGATCGAAGTGGCTACTACAACGAGGACGACCTCCAAGTATGAAAGGATAGGTGCCTACGGAGGGACGAAGAGGTAAAAGAGATGGCAAACAAATTGGCAACCTACAGTTGGTCGTCAATTTCATGATGCAAAATAACGTCATGCAGCCACCGTTCCCGCTGCAGGACACGCCGATTCCAGCGGCCAATGCCCAGAAGGGAGGGCAGAAAACAATCCCCGTAGCCCCTCAGCACAACAAGAGCAAAAGATACTCTCACCGACCTTCGAGGAAAGTCGGACGAAGAGAGTCAAGAAGAGAAGAATCACGGAGGACGTATCGCACAAAGGAGGCAGACCCCAAAGGACATCGGCATGTTCAGGGGCAGGCACTGTGCTTCGACACAACTCATGGAAAAGGATAAAAAAGGACTCACCACGAAGCTAAAAGAAGTGCACTAAAAAGACTGAAAGCAGGAGAAAGCCGAGCTCCTGGGCGGACAACGGAGGACTTAAGAGATTACCTCAAGAGGAAACAATAGAATGCCGACGCCGAGGTAACCTCCCCAGATAAGTCGAGGACACTATTCTCGGTAGAATTGGACAGGTTTGAGGCACCGAAGAGATTCAGTATGCCGAGGTTTCAAATATACGATGGTAAGTCAGACCCCAACTTCCACGTCGGACTATATTTGAACTCAATGGCATTGTATAGTGGGAACGAGCCGTTGCTCTGCAAAGTGTTTCCCTCATCTTTCGGGGAGATTGCATCAGATTGGTTTCACAAATTACCAAAGAGAAGCGTGAAGACTTGGGATGGCCTGTCCGAGATGTTTGTGGCCAAGTTCGTGACAAACAAGCTGCAGCCATTAAGGGTGGATGCATTGATGGCTCTGAAAATCAGCAAGGATGAAGGCCTTAGGGCCTATGCAAAAAGATACTATAAGGTGTTCAACCGAATACCCGAATGCAATCAAGAGGTGGCGGTCGTATCTTTCAAGAACGGCTTGAAAGACAACTGTCCACTACGAAAGTCTTTGGCAAAGACATTGCCAAAAAGTATGGAAGAGCTCATGGCGAGAATCGAGAAGTATGCCAAAGCCGAAACAGACACGTCGGGGACTAAGTAGATAAAACAAGAGAAAGGAAACGGCTCACCGAAGCGAGGCCAAGGTAACAGTGGATCAAGCAAACAAGAAACAGAACTGAGGGCCACACAGGCAGTAACAACTGTGTTCTGAATCCCGATTCCCAAAGTCCTGGACCGGATTCGGAACCAACCCTATTTCAGAACACCAATGAAGGCACCAGGAGAGTTTATGGGAAGGAACGTTGGCAGACATTGTGCTTACCATAATGAAGATGGGCACACGACTCAGGGTTATAGAGCCCTGAAAACACATTTGGAAGAACTGGTGAGGCAAGGCCATCTGAGAGACCTCGTCGATGAGGCCAGAACAAGGAAAGAACAGGTAAGATTGCCTCAGGCGCTAACAGCTCCGCCTCTCCCAGCACCACAACCTCAGGCAGGAGGACCTCGGGTAGTCAATGTGATTCACTCGAAGGTCAACGAGAACGAAATTAGGGGGGAGACCTAGAAGGTGAAGCACTTGCAACATGTCTACCAAGTCGGGGAGAAGAGACATTAGGTAAAAGAGTGCCAAGGACCAGTAGTGTCATTTTCGGAAGCCGACCTTGAGATGGTGCAGCATCCGTATAATGACGCCTTGGTAGTATCCCTCCAGGTTGGGGAGTGCCAAGTAAAACGCATCCTGATTGACCAAGGCAGCTCTTGTGACATCATGTACGTTCAATGTTACAAGGAGCTCGGCCTTCACCCAGACGATATGGAGCAATCCAATAGCCCAATGATCGGGTTTAATGGAACGCCGACATGGCCACTGGAAACAACCAGCTTAGAGGTGCAGGCAGGCACCAGGAAGATAACAACAGAGTTCACCAT